TTATATGGTAGGCGATGTAGATCTCCGGTGGGTTGGTTCGAGCCAGGTGAGGCTAGATTATTGGGCACAGACTTGGTTCAGGATGCTTTGGAGAGAGTCAAGGTGATTCAGGATAGACTCCGTACAGCCCGGTCCAGACAGAAGAGTTACGCGGACCGGAAGGTTCGTGATGTTTCCTATATGGTTGGAGAGCGGGTTCTGCTTCGAGTTTCGCCTATGAAGGGCGTTATGAGATTTGGGAAGAAGGGGAAGTTGAGTCTGAGGTTTATTGGCCCTTTTGAGATATTGAGGCGCGTTGGGGAGGCTGCTTACGAGCTTGCCTTACCTCCCAGCTTGGCAGGAGTTCATCCGGTATTTCATGTTTCGATGCTCCGGAGGTATCACGGTGATCCATCGCACGTGGTGGATTTCAGCTTAGTCCAGTTTGAGAAGGATCTAACTTATGTTGAGGAGCCAGTGGCAATATTGGACAGACAGGTTAGGAAGCTAAGGTCAAAGAACATCGCATCAGTGAAGGTTCAGTGGCGTGGTCAGCCAGTCGAGGAGGCGACCTGGGAGACCGAGCAGGATATGCGCAGCCAGTACCCTCATCTTTTCACTACTTCAGGTATGTCTTTGTGCTCGTTCGAGGACGAACGAATATTTAAGTGTGGGAAAATGTAACGACCCGGCCGGTCGTTTTTGAAATTTACGCCCTGATCCCCTATTAACTGCTTCCCCCGAGTCTATTTCTGCTATTTGATTTGCCGGGATGTTCGGTTTTAAGTTTCGGAGAGTTTTGGGACACTTAGTCCCTAAATGAGAGCTTAAGTGTTGGAAAGTTGACCATAGTCGGAACAGCGTGAAGACGACCTCAGAATGGAAATCCGATGGTTCCATTAGCTCCGTTAGGTGATTTCTGTTTAGGGGCGTGGTCGGATTGTGTTTTGGAGGTCCGTAGCTAATTTAGGCTTGAAATGCCGAAAGGTCAATTTTGAAGTTTCTGGTTCGATAGTGAGATTTTGATCCGAGGGTCAGAATGGAATTCCGAGAGTTGTAGTAGTTCCTTGTCATTTGGGACGTGTGTGCAAAATTTCAGGTCATTCGGACGAGATTTGATAGACTTTTTGATCGAAAGCATATTTTGAGAAATTGGAGTTCTTAGGCTTGAATCCATGGTTAATTTGAGGTTTCGATGTTGTTTTAGGTGTTTTAAGGATTGGTACAAGTTTGGGGAGTGGTATTAGATATGTTGGTGTCTTTGGTTGAGGTCCCGGGAGAGGGGGGGCTCGGGATGATTTCGGATGGTTGGCGAGAAATTTTAAAGATGTTGCAGCTGCTGTATTTTTGCTGCTTATGGTATTTTCGCATCTGCGGTAGGGGGACCGCAGATGCGGCGCCGTAGAAGCGGCTAAGTGGCCGCAGAAGCGAAACTTGGGAATTCCCTCAGGAACCGCAGATGCGCTGAGTTTTTCGTAGAAGCGCAACCGCTCCTGCGGTTAGAGTTCCGCAGATGCGGAATCTGGCTTTTAAATGAAAGTCGCAGATGCGACGTAGTTTCCGCAGAAGCGTGACCGCAGATGCGGTCCCAGGGCCGCAAATGCGGGAATCGCTGGGCAGAACACATAAATAATTGCCTTTGCGAAATTGAGCCATTCTTTCACCATTTTCATCCGGGTTTGAAGCTTTTGAGAGAGATTTTTGAGGAAAACAAAGGGGAATCGCTTGGAGGTAACGTCCTTGACTTCATAACTCGTTTTTATGTGATTAAAGACCTAATTAGTGATGAGAAATTTGGGAAAAATGGGTAATTAGGGCTTGAGTTTAAGAGGCCTTTAAATGAGGATTTGAGGGGTCATTTGGACTCTGATTTCAGTGTTCTTATTATGTTTAGACTCGTGAGAGTACGAGGTTTCTGAAAATGTAAATTTTATCCGATTCCGAGATGTGGGCCTGGGGCATTTTAGTTATTTTACCTAATTTCGTGTATTAGCTTAGAATTTAATTATAGAATGAGCTACTTGAAGTTTTATTTACATTATGAAACTTAATTGAATAGATTTGGGCCATTTGGAGTCGGATACTCGTGGCAAAGGCGTGGTTTCAGGTTGACTTGCACTTGTTCAAGATAAGTGGCTTGTCTAACCTTTGATGGGG